TTTACTAGTCTTTAAGAAGACAGTTGATACGATAAATTCAATGGCTGGAAAAGAAGTCACCTTTTACAAACCTATTTAAGTCAGGTACACGTCGGTTAATGAGAAAAAGTTGAGTTCCAATTCCGGTCGAGGTTGTTGCATTTACTTGCACTTAGGAAAAGAACGAGTCCAACTCTTCTCCCGCCAGATATGCCGTCCTGGGCATGACGATAAACTACATCCGGCAGCAAGGCCTCTGATCGGGAAATCGGAGATCTCAAGGAGCGTGGAACCACCTCTTATTGTTTCCAAGTCCACCCTGATTCGGGGTGGTAGGACCTGTGAGGGTCCCAGCTATGGGCAAATGGGTTAACTCCCAAATTGGGGTCAAAACACTATGAAAGTATAAAAATAGATATTTATAGTAAAAATATCAACAATACATGTTTGGAAAAATATTACCACCTGACTCTCAACAAAAAAAAAAAGCTTTACAAAAATACATCAATGAAACCTGATCTACAAACTGATTTCTTACAACTAACTAATATTCTATTCATACGAACCTATCCTAAAAATCTTGTCGGCATTAAATAACCCATTGAGGTTGATATGCCGTAAAAGAAAATGAATTAAAACAAAGAATACATATTCTATTCATACGAACCTATCCTAAAAATCTTGTCGACATTAACCCATTGAGGTGTTGATATGCCGTAAAACAGAATAAACCAAACCATCAGCTACCCGGTAAATAACAAGACAGACTAGCTATAGCCGTGGTTGACCATCAGACTGTCATAGAATATCTTCAGGAACTGAAAGAGATATGATCCCCCAATCTTATCTCACATATGAAACGTAAATACCTGAGACAGAATTCTCAATTTATTAAAAACATTTTTAATTCTTTTGATTGTTAATAAATAAAAAAAAAATGCCAATAAAGAAGCTGACATCAATTCCTCATGGTTGCTGCCATTTTGGTTGGTTGATATGTTTTTTACGGTTTATCAACCCTTTGCGTGTTATTTAAGCCAGATTTTTTTTTCAGATTGGAAGAATCAATTACTTAACCCATAGCTGCTCAAAAGAGAGGTGAATACATCCCTTTCCCAAGGCTACTTATGCGTAAGTGACTATAACGATCCGGACTGGAATTGAACACGGCTCTCCGATTTCCAATGACAAGCCGTTATTCTTTACACCAGTCACGCATCTAAGCGGTCACCCATCTAGGTGATGCGAACAGTTAGGACCATAAGCTATTCTCATGCCTGTTTTCACGAGAGGTGAGCTTTAACTATGTAAAACTTCTTCATTGCTCGCATGATTCGTCAATGGGATTCTCATTATTCTACTGTAGACTTTCAGCCGCCCCAAGTCTCGACGGTCAGACATTGTCAGGAATGCCGAGTTCATAACTATCTCTCTCTCTCTCTCTCTCTCTATATATATATATATATATATATATATATATATATAGATAGATAGATAGATAGATAGATAGATATCTATATAACATTTATGTTATAATTTTTAAATATATATATATATATATATATATATATATATCAGTCTGTTCATATATATATATATCTATCTTTTTACAGTCTGCTCATATCTCTCTCTCTCTCTCTCTCTCTATATATATATATATATATATATATATATATATATATGTATGTATATAAATAAAAAAAAAAGAACAGTAAGATATATAATCAGGTGTTCTTATAGATATTTTTATCGTGGTTAAATAAAAAGTATTCTAATCTGAACACCCCAGAAAATCTTTAAATTTACAAATAGAAAAAAATGCCGTAAGAATTTTTTTGCCGTTAACAATAAATATTAAAAAAATCCAGACGACATGCATTCAACGAATGTCAGTTTTCATTGAAAAATACATCCCTACCCCTTACCAAAATGTAGCTAATAACCGATACAATGATAGAGACATAAGGAGAACCCAGACACCCCTTGTCCAATTGAAGTAGATTTATCTGTAACCATGGAAACGTGATTTTAGCTGTGGCTTTAAAACCCAGTAATTTTAAAAGTTACTCCAAAATTCACTTGAGGATGAAATGGAACCAATGTCTTTAATTTAATTGCAAAATTAAATTCGTGGCTTTAGCTTCCATTTTTGAAACATGGTTAGAACTGTGTAGCGAAAAAAATATTTTAAATCCATTAATTTATAATATATATATATATATATATATATATATATATATATATATATATATATATATATATATATGTATGTATGTATATATATATATATATATATATATATATAGAGAGAGAGAGAGAGAGAGGAGCGATAGTCTATTAGCACATAGTATAGAAGGCATTCAATCTATCTTTGATAAATTCTCTGAAACATCTATCACAAATCCTTCCGTATTCATTGATGGTACGGCATTAAAAACTCTTTGGGCTTTCACATATCTTGGATCAAAAGTCTCTTCTGATGGAAAAAATGGACAGATAAGCTCCAATCCAGAATAGCTAAAGCCAGCAAAACATTCGGTAATCTTAAACATAAGTTATGGAACAAGAGTAAAGATCGATATATACAGAACGGTCGTTCTCTCAACCATTCTCTATGGTGCTGAAACTTGGACCCTGTACCGCAACTTAACGCCTTTCTCATGCTCTGTCTTCGTGCTATAGGTGG